GAAGCAGGATGTCTCTGTTTACAAATATTTTTTCAAGTATTTTTCCTTTTAAGGGGATGAACAAATCCAGGGGTTGTATGAGGGTAATGGTCCTCCTACCAGTTTACCTTTTATCTAACAGTGGGTGCATCTCCATGTGCATTTTAATGTGGAGCTGACTAATTAGGTCTGCAGTAAAGTGTTGCTGTCTACACGTGCATCAGTATTAGAACACAGTAAATTTAATTACCTCTGCTGTAGGATAGTACTGTCTGAGACTAGTATCAACCTATGGCAGAGTCATTTAGTGTGCCAAAACACATGTTTATAGAGTGACCAGGGCTGGCTGGGGCATGAGGGTGTTACAGTATGGGGACTGCCTGCCAGCCCTGATATTGCTACCCAGAGCCTGCGCTTCCCCCACCCCCAACCAGTCTGGGGCTGCTCCACCCTGACTCAAACAGCTGCAGTCCTGGGCACATGTGAAGATGTTGTGCCTGGGAGCAGCTGACTCCTGCAGAAACTGTGCTGGAGCTTATTGCTACATGCTAATTGTACATGTAGCTACACCTAGTATAAACAAAAAATATGCCTCTGGTCAAATATGACCAAAGTAGTAATCGCCTTCTAACTGTTCAGTGGTCTTTTGATCTTTTGAAAAAGCATTGATAGATTTTTTTTTTCCCCATTCTAATTAAAGGTGGCTATTGTTATCTTGGACCTTCTAGGGATGTCCAAGTTTTTTGAGTAGACCTAAAAACTAAACTATGGCCCCTAGAAGTTATTCCTAAAGGTCTTGAGTGAAAACCCGTTGGGGAAACAAGGTAGCGGAACTTGTGTTGCCGTTTTCCTATTGTACCCAGTATAAATTAATTGAACTGCAGTCTCCATCAAAGACCCTCTAAATCTCTACTCTCTACACTACTTTAAAATACTTAGCCTTCTTGTTTCCTTTACTCCTTTGTTTGGGCCAATAGAATTAAACATTTCTTGCTTTAAAGACAATAGTGCATTCTTTGAAGTAAAAAGAAAAAAGGAACTATGATAATGACCTTTCATGACAGGGACATTTAAAATTCTTTACAGATTTGTCATGTGCAATTTAAACATTTGGCATTTCATGATCTTAGATTGCTTAACCATGTAACCTTATAGTTTAGTAATACTTTAATTGAATTTGGGGAGGGCAGGGAGAGGGTTCACCATTGAAGCAATAAGCTTAGAAGAAAATATCACCCTCTGGAATAACTTGCATAAATGCTGTATGTCAGGGATAGGCAGTGTTTTTAAAAATTCTAAACCTGGTGACAATAAATAAAGGTTCATATACTGCCTTTGTGTATTCTTTTTTTTTTTTTTTTTAAAGGTTGGTAAGAAGAAAAAAAAAAAAAAAAAAGAAACGGGGGGGGGAGGGAGAGAAAAGCACTAACCCCCTGGTGATTTATTGCGGCAGGAGGCAGAGTAGCCCCTTGGTCACAGGGTCCTAACCCACTTTTACCTACCCTACTCCTGTCTTCTCTTCAGTCACCCACCATACGTTAGCCTTAAATGGTAGGTAGAATAGAGAGGGAGGAGTTGGCACCTGATTGTTCTTGGCCTTTTACAGTGAGGCTTGGGAGATCACATCCTGGGTCTCTTCCACCCCTACACCATGCCCATGCCTCTCCAGAGAGATGTTGCCATGTAAGACACTGGTTCTTTAAGGATAAACTTAATTCCTTAAAATAGATGCTCTGTATTCACTGCCACAAATAAGTAAAAATGCTCTCAAGTAAAAGATTTTTTTCTTGCTGCCTGTCTTGGCCCTGCTTCTGACAGCTAAGATTGGTGATGTTAGGCTGGTAGCTAGTTGTCATCAAATGCAAACATGAATCCAAATTGTCAGTCATCAGATGGTTTGTCACAGGACTGAGTATGGATCTACTTATCACTATGAACAAGTGTTTTCACAAATGAAAACCAAAGATGGACAGCAAAGCAAAAGCTACTTTTTTTTCATGCGGGCATACTTTTGAAGAAGGGAAGACCAATATGCTGTAATCTTGAGTTGCTAGTCCCTTGCATTCTCAAATTCACCTCACAATCATTTGAACTTTGCCACTCAGATGCATGAGCTTTGAAAGTCAATCAGTTCCAATTCAAATCCTTCAATGTTCAGTCACTGAAAATACCGCAGTTCTGTGTCACTTTCACAGTATTGTCTGGGTTCATCAGAAGTGAAAACATGGGTCCTGTGTTGCAAAAGTCTTGGAATAGTCTTGTGACTTCATCTTCCAGCTGTCCTATGTAGTTTCATATACCCCTATTATTCAATTGATGTTACTCAGAATGGATTTTTCAGACTGAGCAAGTAATGGAAGGCAAATATTTCAATATCCTGTCTGAAAATGAACAACTTATCACAGAAAGCTTCCCAGTCTTCAGACAGCTGAAGGATGGTTTTCCGTGTTCCTTGTAACCTAGTATTCAAATCATTTAAATGTGATGCAATGTCTGTCAAAGACATCAGTTTTGTTTGCCATCTGTCATAGTAAGGTCTGCATGTTACTGACCACTTTTTCCTCAAGAAACAGCTTGATGGATCTGAGACAAGCAACAAAGCACTTGAGCATGTCACCTCAACTCAATCAGCATACATTACTGTGCAGCGCTAAATCTCCATATGCAGAATCCATATCATTTGAAAGTTCACAGAATCTCCTGTATGTCAAAGAAGAGCGGGCGATCAAAAGGTTGACAAATTTCACAACCACTGTCATGATTTCATTTAGATCAGAAGATGAGATCTTAGCGCACAGGCTCTCCCGATGAATAATACAATGGAAACTCATAAGAGGATGTCCAAACTCCATTTCAGAAGCTTTACAAATCCAGCTGTTTTACCTGCCATAGTAGATGCACCATCAGTCGTAACAGAAAACACTTTGTGCAGGTCAATTTCTCACTGTGTGCAAAATATCTAGGGCAGCATTAATATATTGTTGGCCTTTTATTGTGCTATGCATAGTACTCAAAGAAAACAATTCCTCCAAACTTTCCAAACCGAGACAAAATATCTAACAACTATAGCGTAATGGGGGATATCATTTATATCTGTGCCTTCATCCAGTGCAAGGCTTATCGCAACACAAGCAGGGAGATCTTGAATCATTTGTTCCCTAACATTAGTTGCCATTTCATCTATTCACCTCTGAACAGTCCTGGATGACAATGGCATTTCATCAATGCAAACAATAATGCTTTCCTTATTTGCAAAATCCTAAAACAGATCCTCAGCACATTGTAAGAAAGAATCCTTTTAGTATTCTCCATCTGTAAAATACTTGCCTTCCTGAGCTATAGCTAGAGCTGCAATGTAATTTCCTTTTGTGGAAAGAGTATTTCTAGCTACAAAACGAGAAAAGCTGTCTGTCTGTTTTAGAAATGAATCAACAGCTTTTATAATGGATTCACATTTGTCTGCTTCATTGACTCCAGAAAATTTTGGCTTCGTGCTTGGTTGCAAAATGTCACTGGATGCTGGAAGTACAAGATAGCACACTTTCATTGCACATGCTACAGACAACACCATCCCGTTGCTGCACAAAATCATACAATTCTCTCCATGCTGGCTGTAACTTTCAAATATCTAACTTTTTGGTTCTTTACTATCCATAGTTAGATATCTATATGCCTTGTAACTGTAAAATTTCCTGAAGTTCACACAAACCAAAGGCACTGCAAGCAATGTAAATAGGCAAAATCAGAAATAATTAAATTTATTTGAAGTGTGTGTAAATCTGGGTAAGTATTTCCAAGAAGGCAATCAGAGCAGAAAAACACACAAACAAGTGAGCAATATGATGTCTTTAAATCTAGGAACCCATAGTAGAAAGATCAAATTAAACTGACTATGACCTGTTTTGATACAGTTAAAGCTTGAAAAATATGAACTGGTTTAAAAGACTGAAAAATGGAACAAGAAATGATTTAACGGAGCAGAATAAGACTGAAGAATATGAACTATTTTGACAGAGCAACAGCTGAACATGAATCAGTTTAACAGAGCAAAATAAATCGGTCAATGTAGAGAGAGCAACAGCTGACTATTAATCAGTGTAACCAGGCAACGTAAAAGGAATAGTACAAACTGGTTTGAGAGAGCAAAAACAAAGCCTGAAATAATTTAACAAAGCAAAAGAAACTGAATAATATGCCATCTTAAACTATTTGCCAAAACCAGGAACAGCACACGGCCCAGACAGAAGTTACAGAAGATGCTCTGTTTTGCCATGCCTTCATCTCGCCCTTCATGGCCGGAGGGGACAGATTTTCATCCAATCGGCCATGTTTTTAAACAGTCTGTAGCTTGCACTTGTGTTTGGTCACACTACAAACTGCTTTCTGTGGAAAGACCAGGCGAAACTTGTCGCTTCTGTCTGCACCCAGCAGGCTACTGAGCTGGCTGCCCCAAGAGCCAGGTGCTGCGCTCCTGTAAGCAGGCGGGGCAGGGCACGGACACGGAGGTGCTGGTGCCCTGGTGCCCGCATCCCCACCCCGCTGTGTCCCGCAGGCAGCACCACGCCCCCCGCCCAGGTCTCGCAGCCC